CTCCAAAATTAATAATCATGTCAATTTCTCAGTAATTTGCGGACATGTGCGGAGCAACGAAAAATTGAGTCCCCCAACACACACATTCCTAGCCGATAACAAACGAGGACACACATGGAGGACTGCATGAGCCAAGCAGTTAAAGTATACAAAGTGAAGAAGCTGGTGACCGTATCAGTAAAGCACTTAGTAAGTGAGCAAAGGAAATAAAATGAAATCATAAGGAACAACCTAAAAGAAGGCATAAGACTTCAGAAACGTAAACGATGAACAGATGAGCCAGAAAACAAATAGGAAGATGACAGATTTAAATCTAACTCTATCAGTAATCTTTTTTTTTTTTTTTGAGACAGAGGGCAAGAAATGGGAAAGTTCTTCTCCAAAGTTTCTATCTTAGACTACATTATAAGGAGTTACGATCTCTTGATCTATAGTCATTATCCACTATTAGCATAAACATATACCCACGTATATATATTCCCTAAATCAGCTACGTCTTAAATCAACTACCTTGACTTGATCCAGCATGTCTGAACAGTACTGGGCAAGCTCCAAACCCTGATACATGCCATTCCTTATTTGGAAACCCTCCTGACCTTCTCCTGACTAGCTTCCTCTTCTTCTTCATCTTCTTTCTCTTTATCTATCCATGAAATTTCCAAGTTTTTAGCCAATTGGGTACGGCATAGAATATGAGGTCCCTTCCAGCCAATGGAAACTGGACACAGCAGTAGGCAATTGCATCAGATTATGAGTTATAAATATCCCTGCCTCCTTTGTTCAGGTGTGCTTTTGTGGCAAGACTGCCAGCGAGTTGCACCCTTTCTGCAGGAAGTAAACTAGCCTTGCTGAGTAATCCATTGTCTCGGTGAGGATTTTTCCAGACGTTATAAACCCATTTCCAACACAGTGCCTTGCTCTTTTGATCAGGCTGGAGTACAGTAGCGTGATCTCAGCTCACTGCAACCTCTGTTTCCTGGGTTCAAGCGATTCTTGTGCCTCAGCCTCCTGAGTAGCTGGGATTACAGATGTGTGCCAACAAGCCCAGCTAATTCTTTTTTTGTTATTTTTTTAGTAGAGATGGGGTTCTGCCACGTTGTCCAGGCTGCCCTTGAACTCCTGGCCTCAAGTGATCCATCTTCCTTGGGTTCCCAAAGTGCTGGGATTACAGGTGTGAGCCAACGTGCCTGGCCATCAATAATCATTTTAAATATAAATGTTCTAAATGGCCCAATTACAAAGCAGACTAGAAAAACAGTTTAGTGTTTCCTCAAAATGCTAAACGAAGAATTACCACATGATCCAATGATTCCACTCATAGGTATATACTCAAAAAAAAAATTGAAAGCAGGGACTAAAAAAGATACTTGTACACCAATGTGCAAAGCAGTGTTATCCACAATAGCCTAAAAGTAGAACTAAACAAAGTGTCCAGAGTGCGACATATACATACAATGGCAGTATCACTGAGCTTTAAAAAGGAATGAAATTCTGAGACACACAACATGGACAAGCCTTGAAAAGGCTATACTAAGAGAAATAAGCCAGACACCAAAGGAAAAATATTATTATTTCATTTACATAAGGTAACTAGAATAGGCAAATTTATAAAGATAGAAGGAGGGGGACGAGGAGTTACTGTTTAACGAGTAGAGTTTCTGTTTGGGATAATAAAATTGTTTTGGAAATGAATAGTGGTGACAGTGGCACAACAATGTGAAACATACTTGGTTCCACTGAATTGTACACTTAAAAACAGTCAAAATGGTAATTTTATGTTATGTAGGTTTTACCCCAAATAAAAAGAGGAGGCAGAGATTCTCAAACTGTATTGAAAAGCAAGAAACTGTATAAAAAAGCAAGACCCAACTGTCATGTTACCTATAAAAATGTCCACTTAAACATAAAGACGAAAACAGGCTAAAATAAAGGGATAGAAAAAAATACACCATGCTGACACTAGCCAAAACAACTGGCTGTATTAATGATAAATAAAACAGATTTCTGAGCAAAGACTATTAACCAAGAATATTGAAGGTCATTTCATAAAAATAAGTGTATTATATTCATCAAAAAACTAGAACATTGTTATGCATTTATGTACCTAATAAAAGAGCTTCAAAATATAAGGGGCAAAAAACAACAGAACTGAAAGGAGAAACAGAAAATCCAAAAATTAGTCAAAATTTCACAGCAGCAGAAAATGTATCCTTTTCAAATATAATAAAATATTTATGGAGACCATAATCTGAACTAGTCTGATAAACTTTGACAGAAGTCAAATTATGTGATGATCTCTGATAAGGGAATTAAATTAAAAATCAGTAACAGAAAAAAATACCTAGAAAATCTCCCATGTGTGTAAAAACTAAGGAACACTCTTAAATAACCAACGGGGCAAAGGGAGTTTTAGAATATATTTTTAAATGAATGAAAATACAACATGTCAATATTTGTGGCACACCATTTAAACAATATCTACAAAGCAATTTATGGCACTCAAGATCAGAGAAGAAGAAATGTCTCAAAACAATGACCTCAGCTTCTACCTTAATAAACAAGGAAGAGAAAAACAAGTTAAACCCAAAGTAGGCATAGCAAAGAAATAAACATAAGCGCAGAATCGAAGAAATAGAAAACAGAAAAACAAAGGAGAAAATTAATGAAATCAAAAGCTAGTTATCTGAGAACAATCTAGCCAGGTTGATAATGGGACAAAAGAAAAAAGGTAGAGTTACAAGTATCAGGAATGAAAGAGGTAACATCACTACATATTCTAACAGTATCAAAAGGATAGTAAGTGAATTGTGAGGAAGAAAAAAGAAAACAAAGTAAAAGCAGGATTGAAAACATTTTAATAACAAAAAATAAGGATAGTATGAAAATACTACGAACAACTTTATGTCAGCCAATTTGACTACTTAGAATCAGGGGTGTCCAATCTTTTGGCTTCCCTGGGCCACTCTGCAAGAATTGTCTTGGGCCACTAATACAAATGATAGTTGATGAGCTAAAAAAAAGAAAAGGTCTGTGCATAAATCTCATGATGTTTTAAGAAAGCTTACAAATTTGTGTCGGGCCGCATCCAAAGCATCCTAGGCTGCATGCAGCTCACAGGCCACAGGTTGGACAAGCTTGACTTAGATGAAATGGACAAAATGTGTGAAAGATACAAACTACAAAAGCTCATAAAAAAAATAGGTAACCTCAGTAGTTCTAGATCTACTAAAGAAACTTAATTTGCAACTGAAAGCCTTCCCATAAAACTACAAGTCCAGATGGCTTCACTGGTAAATTCTATCAAATATTTTAGGAAGAAACAATACTAACTCTATACGAGCTCTTCCAGAAAACTGAAGGAACTCAATTTGAGGCCAACATTATTCTGACATCTAAACTAGACATTACAAGAATGCTACAAATATCTTTTGTGAACAGAGACATAAAAATTCTCAAGAAAACTTTAGCAAACTGGATTCAACAGTATGTAAAAAATAATACAACATGACCAAGTGGGGTTTATCCAAGGAATGCAAGGTGGGTTTAGCATTTAAAGACCAATAATTCACCATATGATTACACTAAAAAATCATAGGAAAACCACAGAAGAAACTAAAACTATAAAACACAGGAGACCTTGGCTTTGACAAAGGATTTCTTAAATACAAAAAGCAAAATATAAAGAGAAAAAATTAATAAATCAGACTTTATTAAAATGTTTAAATGTTTGCTCTCAAGACATGTTAAGAAGTAAAAAGACAAGCCACAGATTCAAAGAAAATATTTGCAAAAGCTGTATCAAACTAAGGACTTCTGTCTAGTATACCTAACAAATGTTACATTTAAGTAAGACAAGTGAAGGTAAAAATGGGCAAAAGATCTGAACAGATGCTTCACCTCACATGTGATGATATACAGAAAGCAAATAAGCACCTGAGGGAAATGCAAGTTAAAACCACAGTAAGATAACAAACAGTACAATGAAATACCTAAAACTAAAAGGACCAATTATACCAAATGTTGGTGAGGAAGCTGAGCAACTGAACCCTGATATGCTGCTGATGCCAACGTAAAATACAACAATGGATGAATTTCAAAATAATTATGCTGAATGAAAGTAACTAAGGCAAAAATATGACTATTTACTATATAATCCCCTTTATAAAATTATAGAAAATGAAAACTTTCTAGAGACAGAAAGCAAATCAGTGGTTGACAAAAGACAGGTGGCAGAGAGGGACGGTAGAGAGGAACTACAAAAGGGCAGAAGGAATGTTTTAGAGGTGATGTTCACTGTCTTGGTTGTGCTGGTTTCACGAATGTATGCATTGTATTAAATTGTACACTTTAAGCCCAGGAGTCTGAGGCTGTAGTGAGCCGAGACTGCACACTACATTCCAGCCTGGTGACAGAACAAGATGCCATCTCTAAAAAAAGTTTAAAAAAAAACTGTACTTTAATTACCTGCAGTTTATTCTATGTCAAGTATATCTCAACAACGCTGCACAAAGGCCAACTGTTGGGGGAGGGGAAGGGAAAGCCAGAGAATGAGAGAGAAAAATAAAAATACATGTGTCGGTGGGACACTGGGGCTCACGCTTGTAATCCCAGTACTTTGGGAGGTTCAGGTGGGCGGATCACAAGGTTAAGAGATCCAAGACCACCCTGGCTAACAGACTGAAACCCCTGTAGGGCTGTTGGGCCCCACAGTGTGGTGGGATGTCCCTTATGCTGTGCTGAAGTGCAGGATTCGAGAAGTAAAGAGACAGGACACTGAAGAACTGGTGAAGAGCATCCGGACTTGGGGGACCATACCACCTATGAGCGGAGACAGGCGAGGCCCCGAACGTGCAGAAGTGTGTGTATTTATTAGGTATGGGCGGGAGGAAGGGTTGTAAGTGAGGTTGTCATCTATAGGCTTAGTGATAGGGCATAATCACATGAGTCACAAGCAAGGGGGCCACCCCATTATGTCACCTGGGCAGGGGCAGGGCCGTGCTGTCCACCCCCATTAGGGCACCAAGGCAAGGAGGTGGGCTGTGTGCAACAGGTATCGTGCGTAACACTTATTTGGGGGCTGGAGACTTCAAAGGATTTCTAATAGAAGGATAGTGTAAGCCAATGCAGTGGGAGCTGACAGACCTGTGCTCTTCTCTTAAGATATTTATGGGAGGATGATTTGCGCTAGCACAGAAGTGAGAAAAGAATGACAGGGTGTAGAGCCGCTGTGACTGGTCACACCAGAGGGCTTCTTCTCCCTCGGTTATTTCCAGGATCTCAGGCCTGAGGCCTACTTTCCACAGGAACTGGATGCAATGTACTCCAATTCCTTTATCAGGAGGAGAGGCTCTTGCTCCAAGCCTCCCACACAGCGTGTGCCCTTTCAGGCAGGACGCCACTGCCTGGGTCTTTGGTTCTTGTCCTGGTCTGGCTGTTTTCCCATGTATTGCTTCTATTCTGTGACTGCTCTAGGCATTCCTCCTACTACAACCTACTATATGGTTATATAGAAGGACTATATAAATCAGCACTAAATGTGTCAGTACAGCTCCGACTACAATACCCATGTGATTATATAGAAAGATTATATGAAAGTAAGTATGATTATATATATAAGCTAGCTATAGTAAGCAGTGAGTTATACTTTAGGCACTAATTGCGCCCGGGGTCTGCACAGTTCTTCTTCCTCTGTGCCCATGGGGGGGGTATTACTCACAAACCCTGTCACTACTAAAAATACAAAAATTAGCTGGGCATGGCAGTGCGTGCATGTAGTCCCAGCTACTCGGGAGGCTGAGGCAGGAGAATCAGAGGTTACAATGAGCCGAGACTGAGCCACTGCACTATGGCCTGGGTGACACACTGATACTGGAAAAAAAAAAAAAAAATACATGAGTCTAGGAGGACCAGTATCCTGAGTCTGAAAAGGGAAGAGAAAAAGATGAAGAAGTAATCAAAGAGCATTCCTAAAAGTGAAGCACATAAGACTCTGACTCAAAGAGTGAGTCATGTACTAATCAAAATGAATCTAGATTTAAAATATATACCTAGGTATCTAATAATGAAAGTTTACACTATCAAAAAAAAAATCTTTTTAAAATCCAGAAAGAAAAACTGATTACAAAAGAATGAAACAATACGTGCATAAAAATTAAGGCCTTCTGGTTTCTACACTAGCTCTGACATTTAACAGCTAAGTGACCTTGGGTATGATACTCAACCCTGCTGTGTTTCCATTTTCTCAACTGTAACAATAATAATAATAAACATAATAATTTTTTTTTTAGATGGAGTCTCGCTTTGTCACCCAACTGGAGTGCAGTGGTGAGATCTGGGCTCACTGCAACCTCTAACTCCCAGGTTCAAGTGATTCTCCTGCCTCAGCCTCCCAAGTAGCTGGGACTTCAGAACCGTGTCACCATGCCCAGCTAATTTTTGTATTTTTAGTAGAGACAGGGTTTCCCCATGTTGGCCAGGATGGTCTCGATCGTTTGACCTCTTGATCCACCAGTCTCAGCCTCCCAAAGTCCTGGATTACAACAACGAACCCAGTCAATAAACATAATAATAATTATAACATAATGACAATATTGGTGGTCCCTGAAGATCATGCTTCTATTATTTTTACGTAATAAAAATAATTATAACAGCAGGAGTCACGTGGTTTTGAAGATCAAACAAGTTAATAAAGTGTTTAAAACAATGGTAGGTGCTTTTATAAGTGCTGGTTAAATAAATGTATTACATTAACACCGAACTTGTCAGCAACAATACTAGATGAGAGAATACAAAAGAACAATTCTTTCAAAGTTTTGAGGGAATCTAATATTAAAACTCAAATTACTGGCCCAGTGTGGTGGTTCACACCAGTAATCCCAGCTACTTGGGAGGCTGAGGCAGGAGAATAGCTTGAACCCAGGAGGTGTAGGATGCAGTGAGCCAAAATCACACCACTGCACTCCGGCCTGAATAACAGTGCCAGACTCTGTCCCAAAAAATAAAAAAACAAAAACACTTCAAATTCCATGCCTAGCTAATGATCATTCACATGTATAAGGGTAGAATGGAGCTATTTTGGGGCCTACAACGACTCAGAAATCTCACAGTCCACACAGCATTTCTTAAGAATAAAGAATAAAAGCTAAGAAAAGGATTTAAATGAAGAAAGATAGGCCAGGCACCATGCCTCATGCCTGTAATCCCAGCACAAGGGAGGCCCAGACAGGCGGATCACGCGAGGTCAGGATAGTTAGAGACCAGCATGGCCAACATGGCAAAACCTGGTATCTACCAAAAATAGAAAAATAAAAAGGCCAAGTGCAGTGGCTCATGCCTGTAATCTCAGCGCTTCAGGAGGCTGAGGCAGGCAGATCTCCTGAGATCTGCAGTTCGAGACCAGCCAGGCCGACATGGAAAAACTCCATCTGTACTGAAAAAAAGAATTAGGCCTGGTAGCTTATGCCTGTAGTCCCAGTTGTTCAGGAGGCTGAGGCAGGACAATCACTTGAACCCAGGGGGCAGAGGTTGCAGTGAGCCCAGATCGTGCCACTGCACTCCAGCCTAACAGACAGAACAAGATTCTGTCTCTACATAAATAAATAAAGGAAGATAATGATCCAGAAAACAGTACCTCCCAGTGAAGAAAAACACAATAGTAATAATAATAAAATCCCAGATGCAGCTTTCCAGCAAGCCTACAGAATAGCCAGGTATGACAGCAACAAAAATAAATTAGACCTCAAGAAGATGACTTGACAGACCACCTGGTAAAATAGAGTTTGGGCGCAGAAAGACGTAAAGTGGAAAAAGAAAGGCAACCTCGGAAAAAAAACAAAAGCAACACACACAAAAAAAAAACAGAATCACAGTACATAACCTGAATCTACACAGTGTCAAGAGTCTGGAATAAAAAAGGCATATTACTTAGTTATAAAGCTTACCAATAGAAAAAAATATAGTGATTTACTCCATTAAAAGTATAGAGGGAGGGCTAAATTAGTGACTAAATCCTCTATTATAGCTAGAATTCAACAGATGTAAAACTTATAAAATGTTACGTATATTTAGAGACAGAACCAAAACAGTCAAAGGTGGAGAAATGGGATGGGAAAGGGTACAGCAAGGAACTGTGGCTTTTTGTTTAACCCACGTTCAAGTAAAGTTCAATAAAGTTCAACTAACATTTCACAAAGGAAACACAAGCATTCGATTTAGCAGTTGCTCTTTGAGAAAAACACAAGAAACAGTGGGAATGTCACCAAAGCAAGGCTTCTGGTTCCTCCCTGTACAGAAGCCAAGAAAGTTTAAAAAAAAAGTAGTAGTAAGTTCACAGTGACAGGCGAGCACTGCCTTCAAAAACCAAGAAGTGAGTGTGCATGATGTGCCCCCGAACCTTTCCAATCCAGAAATTCTAATTAAGAGTACAAAATCGAATTCGCACGGAATGACGAAAACAATAAAAACAAAACTCAATGATGGCCGAAAGTCTAATATATTAGCTAACAACGAAAGCTGTCCGGCTCGAGTACATCCAGTAATCCTGAAAACTTCAACAAGCACCCACCCTCTATCCAGTAGTCAAGGCACACAGAGAAAGGCTAACTTCTCAGAATTCTATAGAGCTAGCCCTGGACCAGACATGCTGCTTTCGAAAACCTCGCCGCCAGGGATTCTTTTTTAAAGTTGTTAAAAAGCAGGCCTCAGAATCCGTGCACCCCTAACCTGCTAGCTCAATCGACCTGGCGCGCATTGCTCCAAAACTACAGCCTCAGGACCTCTTCCGAGACCCAAAATGCGCGGTCTCGGGAGGAAACAAAGCAGTGGGCGGGGCCTTCCGGTGCCGGGAAAAAGCTGGCAGGCGAGAAGCGGCCCTTCTGCTACTTGGAACCGGCTAGGCCCTTGCCCCGCCGAAGGTCCCGAATCCCTCGCCCCCGGGGTCCTGAATCCCACTGCCCGCATCTCACCGCATGTGGGGCTGCGACTGCTCGCGAGGCCGGCAGCGGGGCGCGAGCTTCGGCAAGACTACCCCGGGGCAGGTGGCGGAGCCCAAGGGCCGCGGCCTAGAAGTGCCGGGGCCCCTGGCTGGAGCGTGGCGGCCGCCTGTCGCCTCCTCACCTTCTCTTCCACACAGTTGACTATGATGGACGGGTACTTGCGGCTGAGCCAGCGGAAGAACGCCGGGACTCCCATAGCTGCACACGGCTGGAGGCGGCGGCCGGCCGGCTGACGAGCGTAACCAAAGAGACGAGAGCAGCGGCTGCGAGCACCAGCACTTCCTCCCACGTGCACGCGGGCGACCGGAGGTGACGTCACGGCGCCACTGCCGGGGAAGCTGGGAAGGAGGCTCAGCTGAGTGAAGGAGCGGCGGAAAAGGGCGTCGCCGGGCTGCTCGTCGGAAGTGGAGTCCCGCGCGGACCGAGTGGTGAAAGTTGCGGCTCGCCCTCGGTGGTCCCAGCCCCGGAGCGCGAGGCCGAGCGCGTCTGAGTCACGACAGCTCAGGGCGACTGCTCTGCGGCGGCTCCACCTGGATCTCCCCAGCCCCAGCCCTCCGGCTCCCTGAGCACGGAATCTCTGTGCTCTGCAGACCCCGGGGGAGCTCTTCCTTGCCCGTTTGGTCACCTCGTTTTTTGAGGAATATGTCTTCTTTTGCCTCCATTCTCACCCATCTCAATCTAGGATAGAATCGAAGCATCCAAACTCACTCCTTACTTCCATTTCTTGGTTTCTCCCGGTTTTGTGCCACAGTGCGAACCCCAACTGTCAAAAGGAGCACTTTTAAAGTATTTTACAGTAATAATGACTGGTTTGCAGAAATAACTTGTTATCTATGCAAGTAAATAATTGTAATAGTTATCGAATGAAATGTTGCCGGCATTTAGCATCCAATACAACCTTCCAGCTACATTTATGGGTGTAAAATAATTGCTAATATGATTCTCTAGCATTTACTGAGCGTTTACAGTGTACCAAGGCATGACTAAGGGATTGTCCTGTGTAATCATCACTTGAGCCAGGGTACTGTTACCACCCTCGTGTAAATGATAAGAAAGC